CATTGATGCCAATACCGTTTATGGTGTTAATGAGAAATTCGCCCGCAAGCTGCGTACCGGCTACGGTGGTCTCTTGCGTATGAACCCTGTCTTCCAGGAATATGGTCTGAAAGATTTGTTACCCTTGAAGTTGGATATTCCCGATGAAGGCTGCACACGCCCCAACAAGAGTATGTTCTGTTTTGAGGCTGGTGAAATTCGTGTCAATGAACAATTGGTATTGACCTGTATGCACACTCTGATGGCCAGAGAACATAATCGTATTGCTACCGGTTTGGCTCAAATCAATAAACATTGGGATGATGAGACACTGTTCCAGGAGGCAAGACGCATTAACATTGCCATTGTCCAGCATGTGACCTATAATGAATTCTTGCCAATTCTGTTGGGCAAAGAGGTTATGGAGAAATTCGGTTTGGTCTTGCAAAAGGATGGCTATTGGGATGGTTATGATCCAAAGGTTAATCCGGGTATTATTGATTCATTTGCTGGTGCTGCATTCCGTTTTGGTCATTCGCTGCTGCCCACCGCTGTGGAACGTTGGTCGAAGGCTCATAAATTTATTGCCTCCAAAAGATTGTCGGATTTGATTCGTCGCCCTTACGATTTGTATAGAGCTGGTGTTTTGGATGAATACTTTATGGGTTTGATGAATCAAGTGGCCCAAGCTATGGATGATTCCATCACACAGGAGGTTACCAATCATTTGTTCAAGAAAGAAGGTGCTAGATTTGGTATGGATTTGGTGTCATTCAATATGCAACGTGGTCGTGAATTTGGTATACCCGGCTATATGGAATTCCGTAAATTCTGTGGTCTACCCACCTCGAATACCTGGGATGAGATGTTTGGTTCTATGCCCAATGATACGATTTTGAGATATCAGAGTATATTTGAGTAAGTTGGGAAATGGGGGTTTTGTTTTTGGGAAATTATTTAATTTTTTATTAATTACAGACACCCTGCCGATATTGATTTGTGGTCTGGTGGTGTCTCTGAAAAATCTCTGCCCGGTTCTATGTTGGGTCCCACCTTTGCCTGTGTCATTGCCACCCAAATGAGCTATTTGAGACGTGGTGACCGCTTCTGGTATGAATTGCCCAATCAGCCATCATCATTCACACCCGAACAATTGCAAGAAATCCGCAAGGCCAAATTGTCGAGGTTGATTTGTGACAACACCGATCTGATAGATACAGTACAAATTTATCCCATGGTTTTGCCTGATCATGAAATGTAAGTTAATACGTTTTTTTAATTGGAATAAAATATTTTAATAACTATTACTTTCCTTAGTAATCCTCGTGTACCCTGCAAGAGCGGTGTCATACCCTCAATTGATTTGACCAAGTGGGCCGATTATGCTAGTCCTGATATAGCTTCACCAGTTTTTGTAAGTTCTCCGCTATGAACAGATCTCGAACATTTACTGATTTTCTTTCTTCGTTTGCCCTTTCAGAACTACATCAATGAAATTCCCGATACTCTACTAAATTTCCGCAAAAAGTAAATAGCAAATGGTCAGTTTTTGTAATGCACCGCCCTGCATTTTTTTAATCTTCTCACCGACCTCAGTGAAATAACAACTTAGCTGTTCTCTATCTTCCCCCCAATCCCCAGCAAAATACTCAAGGATCATTTTACATTATTGTATTAAGATTTTCGTTCGTTCTTTATATTTTACTTTTCCCGCTCTTTTTCCTTTTATTTTCACAATTTATCAAATCTATTCTAAGTCATTTTTTGTATGTCTCCTCCCATTTTCTATGATTTTGAAAGCGTCTTATTCTGCATGTGCTTTGCATTTAGTTTTCATGTCCAATCGACTTCTAATTTATTATAATTATTGTTCTTTATTTTGTTAATTATTTTTTCTCACATGCATTTTTATTTTGTTTTTTCTTTATGACATTTTGTAAAATCATAATATTTTTGTTTCATTTTTTTATATATCTTTGTGTACATATTATTTTTAAATAGAAAAAATTTATTAAGTATTTTTCATTGCAATCATCCTCCTCCGTTTTATTTTTTTGTTTATTTTTTTATATATAACAACAACAAAATATTATATACATTAAAAACAAATCAACTGCAAAACATCATTTATATACATACATATATATTGCTCAGTAAGACAAAAATAAATTTAAATAAAAATAAAATAAATTAAAAATAAAATGAGTTTCATTTCAATATAACCGTAATAAAAACGTTTACAAGGGGGTGGGTATTTAAAATTTTATTTGAAAGAACTAACAAAAGACATGAATATTATTTCAGGGATTTTTTCTTAAAGCGTCGATTTTTGAGAATAATTTTTCAGGACATGGCATAATTACAGAAGTTAGTCTCATTTGAGAGTTTTATGATGGCAACCCTTCTTAATTTGAAACTCATTTATCAAATTTAAATAATATGAAAAATAAATTCCATAAAATTACTGTGAGCAGCAAAAGTCATGATACCCCATACTAATAAAAAACTATTCAGTATTTATTAAAATAGGTGGCAACTATTTAGAGTTTTGTCAAATTCTCTTTTAAGGGGACCCCCCCCATTCTCGGGGTCAAAATTTTTGTTGACATAATTCGAATCTACACTGATTAAGGAATGTCTCTACAAAATTTCAAGTGAAAATCTCAAGAACTCTTGAAGATATATCCGATTTATTGTGTCCGCATCAAGTGACGGCTTCTCAAACTTTAAACGCGTTTTTCTCTAAACATTTTTTTGCGAATGGCGGGCACGATAACTCAAAAACTAATAATCCAATCGGTTCCAAATTTTGCAACGTTTCTCTGGGAGTGTATAGCTCTCGTATGAACTATGATAAAGCCAATCGGTGAAGATCTTCCTTATTTTTTAACTTGGTTTTTGGTCAAAAATCGGCGATTTTCCAAAAATATTTTTTCAAAGGTCCACCATTTTGTTAATTTTAGAGCGAAGTCAATAATCCTAGTTCATACGAGAGCCAGACATGTACTCTTTCTAACACCGTTGGAATTTTCGGATTCCGATGTTCCAGTGAGGAGTTATCATGCCCGCCATCAAAAATAAGGACTTTTCTTTAATTACAAAAAAACAACAACAAAACAATAACAAAATTTTGTTGTAAATTATTTTTCTTCTCTTTTAAATCTTCAATTGTATATGTGTAAAGTTACAAACCTTAACAAGCATTGCTATTGATTTACCAGCCCATTGAAAATCTTGAAAAAATAAAATCGAGAATGGGGGGGGGGTTCCCTTAAAACGATACTTTCCACATTTCCAAAAGCATTTGCTTAGTGCAACAAGTGAAAGCAAGTATTTTTTTTTTAAATACCTAGAAAAGAACTACCTATTGAAGAGCGAAAAATAATAATTAATAACCATGAAATGGGAAAATCATATTCCGAAATAGGTAAAATGATAAACAGAACCAAATCAGCAGGCCAAAAAGTGGTTAATCGATACAAAAAAGAAAATATAATTGAAAATAAACCGCGATCAGGCCGGCCCAGGAAGCTCGACACCAGAGAAGAACGAAAAATTGAATATATTATTAAAAAAGATCCATCTACCAGCGCTCCTAAAATCGTTGCAGACTTAAAATATTCATTTGGGAAGGCAGTTTCTGCAGACACTGTACAATGATCGCACTGCCCACAAAAAACCACTTGTTAACAAAACAAATCGAAAGAAGCGTGTCGATTTTGCAAATGATTATAAAAACGAGACAAATGAGTTCTGGAACAAAGTTATTTTCTCGGACGAATCGAAATTTAACATATTTGGGTCGGATGGATGCTCTTTGGTGTGACGGAAAAAAGGCGAAGAGCTCAATCCAAAGAATACTCGGAAAACAGTAATGCACGGAGGGGGTGGAGTAATTGTATGGGGATGCATGTCAGCAACTGGTGTTGGCAATTTGGTAAAAATTCAACATTAGTGGTAATTATTACTTCCAACAGGACAATGATCCAAAACACACTGCTATTGACGTTAAGAATTGGATCGTATATAATACACCACACATGCTTATAACACCTCCACAAAGCCCCGATTTAAATCCGATTGAGCACCTATGGGATCATCTAGATAAACGAATCCGAAATCATATAATTTCCAGTAAGGCCCAACTCAAAGAAATACCTCTGACAGAATGGGGTAAAATATCGTCGCACTACACTAAAAAACTTGCAAAATCTCAGCTGTGTGATGTAGACTAATACTGGTTAACATAGCCCTATATCAATGATCTTTTAGTTTCGACTCATATTTTTTCGATAAAATTATTTGTCGTTCTATTCAAACAACTGATTTGATATGTCAATTACAAATTGATATTTCCTCACATACTGCAAAAACTCACATACTCGAAACCTTTCGAAGTCAAAGGTGTCCAATAAGTGAATTTCTAACTTTTGATTTTTTATTTCGAAATTTTGTTTATTAGTGTTGGCGGTTTATTTGGGATACCATTTGTATTTTGTTTTTGCAAAATAGTCAGGCTGGATCCCAGTTTATTCTAACAATTTTTGTGTCATTCACATCTAATTTTTTTATACAATGCTGACTTTCCCAAATTTAGGTTTACAGTACGAATTGTTGCCAATTTAAGTAGTATCGTGTTTACAAATTATAATGGACAGACGGACGGACGGACGGACACACATGTCTAGATCGACTCAGCTAGTCGAGATATGACGATCGGTATACTTAAAGGTGGGTCTAAAACCAATATTTCGCGGCGTTACAAACTCTTGGGGCTGCACAAAGCTATAATAAATACCCTGACAACATAGTTGTGTAGGGTATAAAAATTGAGTTTTCGGTCCACTTCATTCCAAAATTATTATCTGATCATCACCGAAAATTATAGGCGTTGCCCTTGACCATAACTGGAACCTTATGGAACATTTCAAAGCGATCAGCGGTATAGTTCCGCGATAATGGGTTAATAAATAATATACGGATACGGAGATACCTGTAAATATTTAAGTGTAACTCCCACATCCGAGCACATACAACAATATAATTGGTATTAATTTAAAGGTCAACCACTCCTCTTTGATATAATATGAACTTCTCGGGTCTATGTCATTTAGGGGTAAATATATACCCTATAGAATACAAATTTTGTCATTTTTCACACAAAAGTCAGGGTCCGTTTGACCCGCTAAATATTGACCAATCTTTATCAAAACAGGCATGCTTATTCTTTGGCCCGATCCCCTTCTCCATGCAAAATTTCACGATGTTCGGGCCATTATTGCGGCCTCTGGAGCGACCAGAAAAACCGATAAAAATTTAGTATTTGGTCCATTTCATCCCCTAAATATTAACCGATCTTTCCCAAAAAAAAAAATAGGGGTCTTCATTGGCCAGAACCCATCCTACATGCAAAATTTCGTGAAGATTGGTCCATAACTGTGGCCTGTATCGTGTTTACAAATTATAATGGACAGACGGACGGACACACATGTCTAGATCGACTCAGCTAGTCGAGATATGACGATCGGTATACTTAAAGGTGGGTCTAGGACCAATATTTCGCGGCGTTACAAACTTTTGGGGCTGCACAAAGCTATAATACCCTGACAACATAGTTGTGTAGGGTATAAAAATTCTAAGGTGTCCTAATTACGTAACCCACTCAAATTTTTCATGTTTTCCCGTGATAATTTTCTGTTCTCACACGTAATCGCTCAAACACAATACACATAAGCGCTTTGAATAAAAAAGTATTTAAAAATATTCCAAACAAATCGAGTGATATTCAGAACATGCCCCCCTTCAGGTGTGTGCTAATTAGGTGACCGGCACTGTATATTTATCCCTGAAGGACATAGAACCGAGAAGTTGATAATATATCCAAGTGGAGTGGTTGACCTTTAACTTGGTACCAATTTTATTGTCGTATGTACTCGGATGTGGGAGGGCGAAATTATAGCGCTGATCGCTTTGAAATTTTCCCTGAGGATCCAGGTATGGTCAAGGCAACGCCTATAATTTTCCGTGATGAATAGATAATAATTTTGGGATGAAGTGGACCGAAAACTTTTTTTTTTTTTTTTTTTTGAGTCGATCTATACAACACAACCCACGGTGAAGGGAACCTGTACAAGCAATTAGAAGGGCTGTGCTGAATATTAGTAATATTTGTTGACATCTAGTCGGGCGAAATAATGCCCAAGCTCAGAATATAGGACCACAGAATGTTAGATTTTCGTGTAAGTTGTGTAGAGTATCATATGGTCCGCCCCGTCCGACTATACTGCTCCGCTCACGGATTAAAAATAAGTTTTCAATGACCAACATGTTTAAAAATAAAAACCAAAAATAGGCGTATATTTTAAAACAAATCTTTAATGTTCAACGACAAATGTCTAAGGACGAACAATATGTGTAGAATTTTTAAACTAATTTTTTAAGGGTCAACAATAGGGATAGATTTTTTAACTTTTTTTTCTAAGGACCAACAATAGACGTAGATTTTTAAAAATATTTTTTAATCTAGAAGCTA